CCCGGGCCGTGGCGCCCGCGCCCCCACCCTCTTCCTGCCCGAGGGGGCGGGCCGAGTCTAACGAGGGCGGCGCCTATTGGCTGGGAGGGGGCTCCCCTCTTCGCAGCAGCCAATAGGCGCGCGGGGCACTGCGCTGCGCCTGAAGCCGGGCGGAGGGGGAGTGGGGGGGGCGGCCTGAGGGACCCGCGCTGCGCCTCGTACCCCGGCCCGCTGCCGCCGGGGCCTGTGGGGCCTCATCCTCCCCGCCCGGTCCCGCCGCCCTCCCGGGCCTGCCTGCCTCCTCTCCCCGCCCGGTCCCGCCGTCCTGCCTCCCCCGGGGCGGCCCGGCCTGACTCCCACCGCGTTACAGGCCCCGGGAGGCCTCGGGGGGCGGCCACGGCCCCGGGCTGGGCTCGGTTCCACCGGGAAAGCGCCGTTTTGGTGTCAGGGCCCTGCCAGGCCACAGCTGTGGGTGCGGGAGGGTTGATTGATCACCGACCGAAAGGGCCCGGGGGTGGTTCATGGCGGGGGGTGTGGTGGGGGCGTTTTCCCCACTGAGGTAACGTGGATGTTATGATTTTTCCTTCTAATTGCAGCCTCCTGGAGCCAAACTCCGGGTCTGTCCGTGCACCAGGCCCCAGGCAGAGCCGAGGATGGGAGCAGGAGGGCAGGGTGTAGGATGGCACTGGGGGGTGTCCTCTGTCCCCCTTGGTGTGCCAGCCCCATGGCGTCAGGGTGGGCGACTCCTGCCCTGCTCAAAGACCAGACAAATCGGGACACGGGGGAAATTTTGGCACCCCAGTCTTCCTCAGGGCTCTGGGTTCCCTCTCCCAGACCACCCTTCCTCACAGCAGGAATAACTTGCCAAGTTTTCCAGTCTGACGAGCCTCTGCGACTTGCCTTTTGGCTTTCCCCATGCTTGATTTAGTTGGCACAGGCCAAACACACCAAAAAAACTGGTGGTTTTTTGGGGAAAACTGATTCTGGCTCCTGCCTGTAACATCTGCAGGAACGGGCTGGCCTTTCTACCCTGGTGTACAGTTCAAACCCAAGCTCGTTAAATATTTATACCTCGTACCGTGAATCTTGTATCTGTACAGGCCCTGTGACAGCACGAGTGTTTTCAAACCCTGTTTGGCCGTTGTTTCTCCTCTAACCCTTCCAAGTGCTCTTTTACCCCTGCAGTAATTCTCGCAGCAGCCGCCTGCCTGCGGAGGTACGTAAGGGAGGGACAGAAATAGCAGGGGTTTTGGGATCAAGTCCCAGCTGAGGCTGGAGGCCAGAGCTTCGGGGTTACTGCAGTTAAAACCCGGTATTTACTCTACATGGCCAGGATTTTTATGTATTTTTAAAGAAAACATGTGAGTGGAGCCTCCACCCCTGCAAGGCAGCGCACCAAAGGCCTGATTCTCCTTGTAGAGTGTTAGCCCTTGTTGTGGAGGGTGTATAAAACCCTGCCAGGGAGGGCTGGGTTTTAACCTGCTGCAATAAGTAGAGAAACAGCCCCTCTCCTCACACCGAGCCCGCTGTAGCGCCAGGAAAGGCACCGGTACTCGCTTGGCAGCAAAGCTTTACACGGGGAAAGCATTCACTTGCCCTTTCTGATTCCCTTTGAGTTCCCCCTCCTTGTTGCTGGCGTTAACCCCATCTGTTTGTCTGGCATCTGAGCAGGGAAAGGAGCACGTGGGGTTGCTGCGGGCTGGCTGCGGCTCTCGGCAGCCACGAAGCGAAGTCGCTGTGCAACATTGCTGGTTTTTGCTCCAACTCCTGGCTCCTCCTTTATCCGTGCCCCTCCTCACCCCCTGAATGTGGGTCTGGGTCCTGTTCGTAGGCCTGAGTTATGACACAAATGTCCTTTTTCTAGTAAAAAGGAAGCAGTGCTGTGTGTTTGCCCATTTTCAGCAGCCCTCTGTTCCTGACTGCTGGCTTTGGGCACAAAGTGGCATGGTCCCTGTTGGTGGGGGATGGTGAGGGCAGGAGGTACCTGATTTTGGGGGGGCTGGTGGCCACTGTGTCTGGAAGGAGGTGTGATGCCAGAAGCAGGTTAGGCAGAGTGATATTTATGGAGATGGTTGGGTTTTGGGGTATGTGGCTCATCCGGAGAGGCAGCGGGAGCTGGGCCTCCCTTCCTCTGGGCAAGAGGAAGCTGAGGGATGTCTACCAGCAGCCTGTGGCTCCTGGCCAAAGATGATGAAGCCTGTTCCTTCTCAGATGCAAGAGGCAATAGTCACAAGCTGGGGTTTGGGAGTTTCAGGCTCCTTGTCTGTGAGGGTGGTGTCACCCTGGATGAGGTGATCATGATCAGAGGGTTGGAGCCCCTCTGCTGGGAGGGGGGGCTGAGAGAGTTGGGGGGTTCAGCCTGGAGAAGAAAAGGCTCCAGGGAGACCTTGGAGCCCCTTCCAGTCCCTCAAGGGGCTCCAGGAGAGATGGGGAGGGACTCTGGATGAGGGAGGGGAGCCCTAGGAGGAGGGGGAAGGGTTGGACCCTGCAAGAGGGGAGATGGAGCTGAGCTGTGGGGAAGAACTTGTTTGGTGTGAGGGTGGTGAGAGCCTGGCCCAGGTTGGCCAGAGAAGCTGTGGCTGCCCCATCCCTGGAGGGGTTCAAGGGCAGGTTGGAGGGGGCTTGGAGCAACCTGGTGTGGTGGGAGGTGTCCCTGCCCAGGGCAGGGGGTGGCACTGGGTGGGCTTTAGGGTCCCTTCCAACCCAAACCATTCTATGATAAGGTGACAGTGAAGTTGGAGGCTCTGTCCTTGGGGATTTGCAGGACTCAGCTGCACAAAGCCCTGGATGCCCTTGGCTGGGACCGGGGTTGCTCCGTGGGGACTGGAGAGGGGACACTGGGGTCTGTTTCCTGCACTGCTACAGCTGTCCCAGGCCCTGCAGGACACGTGCTTTCCCAGTCTGCTGTGGCTGTTGCTTTTTCAGGGATGCAGATCCCACCTTGCTTGCAGGAGTCCCCACTCCTGTCCGGAGCCCCCTCTGGTTGGTTGAATGGTTGTGAGCAGGATTTTGAGAGTTGCAGGGTTTGGGTTGAGTGGGGAGAGATCTCAGTGCAGAACCTGTGAGAGAAGTCACCTGCTCCGGGTCAGCCAGGGGATTACCAGCTCCCTCCCAGCCTCAAGGCCGTCAGCGAGGGCAGAATCTGTTTTTAGTGTCGTGTTTGCAGGTTAACAGACACAAATTCACTGCTCAGAGCCATGATTTCTTGTGTCTCTTGGGCTGATGATGCTGGTGCTGGCTTCCAGGGGACGTGGGGATGTGATTTAGTTACTGGCCTCGGTGCTTTGCATCCCAGTTATGTCAGAGGAAGCTTATCTCCTCCTACACCCCGGCCGTGGAGATCAGGCAGGGTTCTCCCTCTCAGTCCATGTGTTTCTTGGTCTGGGCTGAAATGTCTGGATTTTTCCCCTTTATCACTGGTCCTGGGTCACCCTCAACAACCCTGCCAGAAATCTCCCCTGATTTTGGGTGCTGTAGGTGAGACTGTGGCTTGATGGGTGCGGATGTTCAAGGGGAGGGAGTTGCGTGGAGCTGCAGGGAACCTGTCCGGCTTGAGCTGTGCATCCAGAGTTAGCAGGGGCCAGGGAAGCCTCATGTAACCCAACCCTGTTCTTCAGCCTCTAAAACAGGGGTACCCTGCTCACAGGGGTGTCAAAATTTGAGGGGAGACCTTATCGTGCTCTATAACTACCTGAAGGGGGGTGTAGAGAAGCGGGGGTCGGTCCCGTCTCCCAAGTCACAGGAGATAGGACAAGTGACAGTGAAGTTGGAGGCTCTGTCCTTGGGGATTTGCAGGACTCAGCTGCACAAAGCCCTGGATGCCCTTGGCTGGGACCGGGGTTGCTCCGTGGGGACTGGAGAGGGGACACTGGGGTCTGTTTCCTGCACTGCTACAGCTGTCCCAGGCCCTGCAGGACACGTGCTTTCCCAGTCTGCTGTGGCTGTTGCTTTTTCAGGGATGCAGATCCCACCTTGCTTGCAGGAGTCCCCACTCCTGTCCGGAGCCCCCTCTGGTTGGTTGAATGGTTGTGAGCAGGATTTTGAGAGTTGCAGGGTTTGGGTTGAGTGGGGAGAGATCTCAGTGCAGAACCTGTGAGAGAAGTCACCTGCTCCGGGTCAGCCAGGGGATTACCAGCTCCCTCCCAGCCTCAAGGCCGTCAGCGAGGGCAGAATCTGTTTTTAGTGTCGTGTTTGCAGGTTAACAGACACAAATTCACTGCTCAGAGCCATGATTTCTTGTGTCTCTTGGGCTGATGATGCTGGTGCTGGCTTCCAGGGGACGTGGGGATGTGATTTAGTTACTGGCCTCGGTGCTTTGCATCCCAGTTATGTCAGAGGAAGCTTATCTCCTCCTACACCCCGGCCGTGGAGATCAGGCAGGGTTCTCCCTCTCAGTCCATGTGTTTCTTGGTCTGGGCCGAAATGTCTGGATTTTTCCCCTTTATCACTGGTCCTGGGTCACCCTCAACAACCCTGCCAGAAATCTCCCCTGATTTTGGGTGCTGTAGGTGAGACTGTGGCTTGATGGGTGCGGATGTTCAAGGGGAGGGAGTTGCGTGGAGCTGCAGGGAACCTGTCCGGCTTGAGCTGTGCATCCAGAGTTAGCAGGGGCCAGGGAAGCCTCATGTAACCCAACCCTGTTCTTCAGCCTCTAAAACAGGGGTACCCTGCTCACAGGGGTGTCAAAATTTGAGGGGAGACCTTATCGTGCTCTATAACTACCTGAAGGGGGGTGTAGAGAAGCGGGGGTCGGTCCCGTCTCCCAAGTCACAGGAGATAGGACAAGGGGAAATGGCCTCAAGTTGCACCAGGGGAGGTTCAGATTGGATATTAGGAAACATTTCTTCATGGAAAGGGTTATCCAGCATTGGAATGGGCTGCCCAGGGAGGTGGTTGAGGCACCATCCCTGGAGGTGTTCAAAAGACGGGTTGACATGGTCCTCAGGAATATGGTTTAGTGATTTTTTTATTGCTTATTTCTTATTTTTTTGTCAGAGTTAGGTTGATGGTTGGACTAGATGATCTTTATGGTCCCTTCCAACCTAGAAGATTCTATGATTCTAAAATCATGCTCATAGAATCACAGAATTGCCCAGGCTGGAAGGGACCTCCAAAGGCCATCTAGTCCCACCCCCCCGCAGTCAGCAGGGACACCCCCAACTAGACCAGGTTGCCCAGGGCCTCGT